AGAAAAGATCAACCTGAGAAAAGTATCATTTAATAGGACTGTCATTTTACACAAGAAGAACGTCTTATTCACATATACATACACAGAGGGTCTCTAAACAAAGAAGTTCTAAAATCTGGTCACACGCAGTATAAAATCAACTATATTTTCCTCCTCATGCTTTTCATTTTGTTGTTGACTGATAAAAATTTTTCTTAACTTAATACTGGCCTGGAGGTCCGTGTTTTGAGATACCTACCATAGTCAGTATTCTCATACAGTGTTCCAGCCTTAACAGAAAAGCATGGGAAAAGAGTGTTTAGGTCTTGCTCAACTTGTAGCCGTTGACTCTCTCCCTCCAACATTCAAATTGATTCCTATTCTCCCCTTTCAAGTATTGTTTTGCATGTACGATTTGGTTTAAAACTATGCTTGAAGTAATGTTTACTGTTGGAGACTGTGATATCTAGACACTGAATCAGTAACATGGTTGAAATCTAAAATTGAAACTTTGATTCCCAATTTAGACCTTGGAGAAATGACCACATCTGTGGGCTTTGTAGCCTCCAGAATCCCAAGGACAACTATCTATAACTGGATATGTACTCAGACTCAAGATTTTCAGGGATCTAAGAGGACCACCTAATATAAATGCCACTTAGTACAAAGTACAAAAATCTAGTTCTACCTCTAGTACAAAATTAAAGTTAGACGGAGCTTTGGAATCTACTGTAGTAATTTAACAAATCATTGTTGCTTTCCTTCCGTATGGTAATCAGAAGTCATCCATAAATAGCAATAAAAAGAAGGGGTGGGAACAGGGAATCTCCAATCACAGCTGAGAGCTGTCCAAAGCTGAGAGCTTGGGACTGGACTGCTCCTACCTCTCAGTCTGCGGGTTTTGGCAGGTAACACTAGACTTAATCTATGCTGGCTGGCTCGGAGGTGAGGGGGAGTGTCTCTTATAAATAGAACAGGAAGAAGGATCAAGGCTTAGAATGGAGAAAGGGTCACGCTTTTCCCAGTCACCTTTTCCTCCTCTCGAGTCTGGAGTTCTCTGAAGGTCAAGGCTGGGGCCTATTCCAGAAATGCAGAAAGTTCTGTGAAAATTTATGGAGTTTGTGTTCCATTCAAGACCTGTTCTTTGGGCAACTAGACCAAGTTTAAAAAAAAATAAATAAATAAAAGAAGAAGGAGATCTGATACTTCATAACTACTTAGAATAACATTTTTTTTTTTTTTTTTTTTAGGCAAAGGGATCTCAGATCTGGCTGGAAACTGGTCTGGGTGATTGTTTTCCCCACTGTCTCAACGGAAACAAGAGCCGGTGATTTGGCCGGCAGCCTCCGCCCCTGGGCTGGGGCTTAGGTCAGCCTCCGCCCTTTTCTTTGCTCCTTAACAGCTGGGCTGCAGTCTGGGAGATGCCGATTCTCACCTCCCACACTGGCTCTCAGCTTCCAACGAGGGTCCCAAGAGAAGCTGGGAGTCTGAGCTTAGAGAAACAACACCCAAAGGTGGGGGAGGGAACAGGGAAGAAAAGGCCTCTCAGGGACAGGAGAAGGGACACACTTCTCCCCTCCCTACCCTATTCTACTCCCAACTCTCCCTCCTACTTCAGCATGGGGTGGCAGGGGAGGACACGGTTGTCAAAAGGCATCTGTGTGGACAGTAGCTCTCCCACAGCTTTCTCTGCTGTCCAGCAGAAATAGGGGGTCTAGAGAGGAATGAGCTGTTTGAGGACCCCTCAGTGACATTCTTCCACAGGATGCTAAATATTTTCCCAAAGCATTCCTGTGAGTGTTGTCTGACCCCAGATGGAATCCAAGACTTGAAATATTCTGCTGGGGAGTTAGTTGGAAACTCAAGGATTACTAGAAGATTAAATATTTATAAAACATTTTGGGGGGCAGCTTCGTCAATTTATTATTATTATTATTTTTTTTAGTAGAGAAAAGAACAGAGCATCTAGAACTCTGGGAATTTCATCCCGCCAACTAAGGCTAACTACTGCCACAAAATTCTTGCCAAGGAGAAAACGAGAAGTGAAAATCTAATTCCATTGAGAGGATATGGAAGAGACTTTGGCCTTATTTCAAATCTTTACCAGTTACAAAATGAGCTTCAGTGAGCTAAACTCTTTGACCTCAAATACATTCATAGTGGCTTTCTGGCTACTCTGATACAGAACACGTTAGTCTGCTAATTTAGTTGTCAGAGGCCACTGTTAATATACATTAACAATATACAGCACAGCACCTGCAAAATAATCAGCTCTTAGTGATTTACAAACGCCCTTCTGCTCTTCCTTCTGGTTGCCTGTTTTGTGACTTAGAAGCAGCCCTGCCAGACTTGTCTGTGACGAGTTTAGAACATATGAGAAGGAGTTAGCAAACACAGCCCGAGGATACATACAAGCCCTAAAGCTTAGTGCCAGCACCTCTGCTTTCAGGACAGGCCGCTGAGTGCTCTGGAAGCTCCCTGTCCCTCCTTGTGTAACAGGAATAATGTCAGTTGCCCAGATACATATTTAAATCACACTGTTTATCTTGTTCTATGGATACAAAGAATATCATTTTTTGCTTTGTTTTGCTTTGTTTCAAGATAGGATTTTGTGTGTGTGTGTGTGTAGTCTTGGCTGTCTTGGACTTGCTTTGTAGACCAGCAACTGAAAAGTGAAGGAGGGAGGGCGACACAGGAAGGCAGACCTCAGCTTTCAGGATTCAAAGGGTGATGGCTTTCCTAACACTGGCTGGCTCCTCAGCACATGAATAATTCATCAAAGCTTCTTCTGAAAGCTGGTTCTTTTTGTATGTGGTATGTCTGGCTGGGGACAGCTGCCCATGACCAGCCCGCACTGTGAGGACCCAGACATGTCCCCTGGTAAACACAGCTCAGCGTAGTTATCTGCTTCCTTATGTTAAGTTTTGATAGTAATATTGATTCCTAGAGGGAGGGAGGGTTTCAATTTTGTATACACACACAGAACAAAAGTGGGCCCTGCACACATGATACAGACTCTTTTTGGCCTTTGTTCCCTTCTTTCTGGAGCATTAGCCTGGGTTTCCTTTCGGAAGCTCTTGGTTAGGGAGCTGATGTCTTCTCCAACCTATGTGAATATTCAGACTCAGTTTCATTTCTGGTCTAGCTTGATCCCTAAGGTTTTATACTAGATGTTTGGCTGGAATATGTAAGGAATTTCAGGGTAGCAGTAGAAATAAGAATCTGGGGGTGGCAAGAAAGTTGAGGAAAAAAAAAAAAAAAAACAGACACACTCCATCTGCTACAGAAACTCTTCCAGCTGAAAGTAAAAAAACCGAAGTGTTCAATGGATCCAACTGAAACCCTTAAGGGAATAGGGAGGCAGATAAAGAAAAAGGAGTGTCTGCTTGAAGGAGGCTCCCCATGTGGAGGACTATCTACAGGGCTGGGCAGCCATCAGGTGACCCAGACATGGAAAACAGTGTGCACAGTCCTGGGGAACATGCAGATGGCGTGCTGCCGAGACCTGTGGTTTGACTGATGAACCCACAGAGAAGAGAAGTGCTGGAAGGACAGAGGCCTGTTCTGCACTAAGGAGACTGGGACTTGGAGCTAAGTGACACTTGCTCACAGAGTCCTTGAGCAGAGAGCTGAAACTGACATTCTCACTGCAGCTACTGACACACCAACGGAATCCGCTCATGGGACTGAAGACCTAGAAGTCAGATGAAGAGTGTTCTAGCCCCCGGACTAGAACAAGCTGAGGTGGTAAGGAGGAACACCTGAGCCAGCTGTGGAACCCCCATTCAGGGGCGTCAGGAGCGCCTGGAGTCTCTTACTCAGTTCCAAATGGGGGAAAACTGTGTTTAGTTATGACAGATACTCCTATTCCAGGAGTGCAGGGCAAAGAGACAGAACATAATTCAAAATGTGGACTCAACCTTAACTGAAACTCGAATCCTAGCTTTGTCATTTTCTAGCTCTGACCATGGGTTGACATTACTGCTACCTAAAAGGATTACTACTACTTTTTAGTAGGGATTTCTTTAAAGTTTATATTCAGAGCACATATGGTGGCTGTTATTTCTTTTTATGACTGCTAAAGGTTAGGCCGAGGCAGTTCAGGGTATTCCCTTCCTAAGGCAGGTGCTGATCCAGGGTACAGGCCTCAGCAGGCCTGAGCCGTAAGAAAGAGGAGTTTCAGAGTCTGATTCTAGTTTGGCAGCTCATTGTACTGAGCCCAGGTCAGGAGTGGATGGACAGAGAGAATCTTTAAGTGTTGTTAGAGTGGTCACACAACTTCTGTAATTAAAAAAGTCACAGAATGGTTTAGAAATATGAGCTACTAGTAAGTCCTAAAATTAGTGGGAAGATTCATAAGAAGGAAAGATTTTTACATGTCAGTAAGGTTGAGAGTGACAGAAGATACAATGTCCACCTTTGGCTGCTGTATGAGCATGAATGGGTTTTCACACCACTCCCACACAGAAAACATAGATACACACACAAGCTTTCTTTCTTTAAAAGAAGGGGGGCTATCAAAGCTCAAACATAAAGTCAGTATTTCATTCTTTTATCTGTCCTGAAGTGGATATACGGGAACACAAGCCACAAAGGATGACTAAGAAACAAGCAAGCCAACTGTGAGACGGTCCGAAATAGATGGACTAGAACAGAGAGAAATGAACCAGAGGTGTGATCAAAGGGAGGTCTTCCCTAAGGCATGGCTGACAAGTGGCAAGGCACAGTGTGGAAACGAGGAGTGGAAGAAGACGTTGAGAGCTGACAAATGGTGGCAGCGTCAAGGTACCTGCAGTATCATTATCATTAGCATCATCATGTCCCTAGCCTTTCTTGATTCCCCAGTGGAGCATTACTGGAATCAGGAGGTCCATCCATATCAGGCTAGCTCAGTTATACTTTCCTCATTTGCCAATTATTTGTGCCAAAAAAGAAATCTTAACCTGAGCCAGTTTTCCTGACTAGAGGAAGCTGAGGTCTCGGCAGAATCCCCTGGGAGAAAGTCATGCTAGTTCTCATACCTGTGCTCTCCTCAGCCTGATTGAAGCCGCAGATCTGGCAGATGCTCTGGACCCACTTATTCATGTCAGCCTCTGTCTCAGCCACCAGGTAAAAAGTGCGTTCACTGGTCTTGATATCAAACACGAAACTATCCTGCAGCTCTTTCTTGTTGAAGGTCAGGCCCGCATCCACCTGCTCACAGAAGTTCAGATTGATGATCCGCAGGGGTTTCTTGGAGTGCTCGTTCTTGTAGTATTCCAGCACATCTGGGTCGCCACTCATCCTGCCGCTCCGCAGTATAAACCAGCGTTTCTTCCAGGCCTAATCACCAGAGAGGCAGCAGGAAGGAGAAAAGACTATTAGTTATTTTAAAGTCTTTATCAGGTCCTCACATATCATCGATTGAAGATGGGTATGACAGGAGGGTAGGGTCTGGAGAGAAAGGCTCCATAATACACAAGGGACCCAACAGATTGCTCAGTGGATAAAGGTGCTTGCCACGAAGCCTAATGATCTGAGCTCAATCCCTGAAATCCACAAGATATGGAAGTTCTCATCTGATCTCCATGTGTGTATCAAGGCATTTGTGCTCCACCAAATAAATACTGAATTAAATTATAAACATTACTATATAAAAGAAGCCACTGAGCAGAGGAAGGCAAGAAACCTCTGGCCACTGGCTACATGTAACAAAACAACAGCATTCTCTAACAAGAAAAACAAAAACGAAAACTTAAAATTCAAGCTCTCTGAATGAGGGGGAAGGAGAGTGTTATATAAATTTCCTATAAAGGATCCAGAATGTCAAGGCCAGAGGGCCTGGGACCTATGCCAGCTCTCCTGCCCACTTCATTCTCAGGAATGTCTTTCTTTTCTTAACAAACTGTCTCTATTTCAATCACTGTCCTTGTGTCTCTAGGCCAATTCTTTATTTTGGGACACAAGAACCTGGCATTCTCAGCAGGTGCCCCTGGACTCAGGCCCTATTAACACAGGGACTGCAGGACCCTTCAGGCACTCACAAGCCTTTATTTTCCTTTCAGACTCCTCAGCTTAAAAAAAAATGGAGGTTTTAGAACTTGTTAGTATAGGAGTAGTGCTACTATTCCTTTAGACTAGATCCATACTCATAACATGTCAGGCCAGGGAACACTTGCAAAGCCACAAAAATCTCAGTTTGTAGGTGTAACCGACTAAGGCACTGTGAGTTAAAACAACTATGTCACACCAAGTGTAGCAGGAAAATAAATTTCCTAACTTCCTACAGTATGCCTCTCACCAAATCATGGTGTTTTGAAGAATCACTGCTGAGAAATCTTTGTGAAAATTCTCTAAGCATCTACCTTTACGTCTTTTCAGTCTGGTTTACTGACATATGTGTACACAGGACCCATGGTAGTTCCTTGCTCATGCCAAACATTCCACCTATTTTACCGAAAGGATAAATGCCTCATATTATCCCATATTATAGAGTTGAAAACTTGGCTACATATGTTCTTATGCTGCCTTCTATACTGTATCTCTTCAACAAGACTGAGTAAACTCTGAGCAGAACTAATACACAATGGTCAAAAAGACAAACTCCCAATCAATCAAAAAACTAAATACAGTTATGGAGCTTTGGGGAGTCTGCACTCTATGACAGACTGCATGATGTTCAACTAAGTTATTTACTTCTTTGGCTCTTTCCTTATCTATATAATGAGAATTGTAACTACCACTGTTATGATCTACCCTATTTAAGACACAGTTTTCTTTTTATGCAAATGAACTTAGAGTACTATAAGTGTCAAGAATTATTATTACTATTATTATTACTGTTAGTATTATGATTACTTTCACAATTTTTCAACCTCTAGGGAGCTATATTAATTCTGCCAACACTTCATATTCACCTTTTATCCCTGTCCTCAATTTCTTCTCTAACCAGCTCTCTTTACCCCTCCTTATAATCATTTCCTTGCTTCTTTTTTTCATTTCTCTTGCTTACTTGGCAAAACCACAACCTCCAGCTAGGTCTAATGTTCTGCCTGCTCTACTTGTTCTCACTTAGTAGTTATGAAAGGCGGGGGGTGAGGGAGGAAGTAAAATAGCTCATTGCAGACTGGCCTCCCTGGGCTGTCACACAGACCACTCACAATGCTCAACAATCCTATTGACCTAGTCCAGGACTTCCCTGAGCTCTTTGACAACAATCTCTGCTCTTTCCTCTTTAAAGCTCCAAAATTTCACTCCTTTCTCATGCAATCAAAAGAGATCTGATGCCACGGTTATCAATGCACCAGCTTCCACAGTCACATTCTCTGGTGCAAAGAGTACAGGCAGCTCTCCTAATAATTTATATCAGCCGTCTTCCTGAGGCACATACCCTTTCAAACTCCTGGAACATAGTTTCAACAACTGCCCCCATTCCAGAGCAGCTGTTTCTTCCTTGCCTACTAGAATCATTTCCACCATCTCAGAAAAAAGGCAAAGGGTGTCCTAAATCCACATTCATCTCTGACTTTGGTTCAGCCTTTCAACTGTTCTTCAGTTAAGCTTCAGGCAGTTTCTACAGCACTGTGCTTACTTGTTTCCCCACTCCTATATGAAGGCGCCTCTAGCAGGCCGTTCCCCACTGGACCTCTGGCATACCAGACCCAAGGTGAATACTCCAGTGCTGCTAATCCTTGGACCTTATTGTGATCAGGAGCATTTTGCAGTTGTCCATTATTCTACCTTCATTGACACACTCCACCGGGCTTTGGCACCCAGTGTCAAGTTCCCGCTTGGTAATGCTTTTTCATATGCCCGTGCTGCTTTTTTCTTCTCCCTATTCTCTAAGCGCTAGAAAACTCCAATGTGTAGTTCTCAGATGGGCTGTGTCTACACCCACCACTGGCAGCTTCCGAACATCAACCTCTAGCCTAGCCCCATCTGCTGAACCTGAGTCCTATATCCAACTCTTCATCATCAAGCATTTCAAAATTAGTGAAGGGAAGAAATAAAGAAATTAAAGACTTTCTAGAATTCAAGGAAAAGGAAGACACACATACCCAAACTTATGGGGCACAATGAAAGCAGGGCTAAAAGGAAGGCACTTTATTAAGTGCCTTCATAAAGAAGTTGGAGAAATCTCATACTAGCAACTTAACAACATACCTAAAAGCCTAAACAAAAAGAAGCAAACACACCCAAGAGGAGTATACACAGAAAATAACCCAACTCAGGACTGAAATCAATAAATTGGAAACAATGAGAACAATACAAAGAAAAAAACAAAACCAAGAGCTGTTTTTTTTTTTTTGAGAAAATCAACAAGATACACAAACCCTTAGCTAAACTAACTAAAAGGCAAAGAGAAAATATCCAAATTAATGAAATCAGAAATGAAATGGAGCATGTAACAACAGACACTGAGGAAATCCAAAAAAAAAAAAATCATTAGGCCTTACTTCAAAAGACTGTACTCCACCAAAATTGGAAAATCTATACGAAATGGGTGATTTTCTGGATAGATACCACTTACCAAAGTTAAATCAAGATCAGGTAAACAGTTTAATAGACCTATAACCCCTAAGGAAATAGAATCACTCATTAAATGTCTCCCAACCAAAAAAAGCCTAGGGTCAGATGGTTTTCGCACAGAATTCTACCACACTTTCAAAGAAGAGCTAATAATAATATTCCTTAAACTACTTCACAAAATAGGAACAGAAGGAACATTGCCAAACTCATTCTATGAGGCCAGAGTCACCCTGATACCTAAACCACACAAAGACCCAACAAAGAAAGAAAACTTCAAACCAATATCCCTCATGAACATTGATTCAAAATGCTCAATAAAATATTTGCAAACCAAATCCAAGAATACATCAAAAACATCCACCATGATCAAGTAGGCTTCATCTCAGGGATGCAGGCATGGTTCAACATATGAACTCCATCAATGTAATCCACCATATAAACAAACTGAAAGAAAAAAAAAAGCATGATCATCTCCCTAGATGCTGAAAAAGCCTTTGACAAAATCTAATACCCCTTAATGTTAAAAGTCTTGGAGAGATCAGGGACATAAGGCCCATACCTAAACACAATAAAGGCAATATACAGCAAGCTGATAGCCAAGATAAAATTAAATGGAGAGAAAATTAAAGCAATTCCACTAAAATGAGGGGCAAGACAAGGTGACCCACTCTCTCCATATATATTCAATAAAATACTTGAAGTTCTAGCTAGAGCAATAAATCAACCAAAGGAGATCTAGGGGTATACAAATTGGAAAGGAAGAAGTCAAAGTATCACTATTCACAAATGATATGATAGTATATAAAAGTGATTCCAAAAATTCTTCCAGAGAACTCCACAAATAATATAAAATATCCTGGCATAATTCTAACCAAGCAAGTGAAAGGCCAGCATGATAAGAACTTCAAGTCTCTGAAGAAAGAAATTTAAGAAGATATCAGAAAATGGAAAGAGCTCCTATGTTCATGGGATTGGTAGGATTAACATAGTAAAAATGGCCATCTTACCAAAAGCAATCTACAGATTCAATGTAATTCTCACCCAAATTCCAACACAATTCCTTACAGACCATGAAAGAACATGGAGACTCAGCAAAGATGTACTGGCATTTTTTTTTCATTCAATGAATACCTTAACTTATTCAATCTAATAGGTGTAATTTAAAAATAAGTTTTTATAACAGAAAGTAAGACAGGCAGGCAAGAAGATTACAGAAAAGAGAACAAGATAGAAGTATGTATTGAATTCTCTATGATGTGAGTTCTTTAGCTTCTGCCCTTTTCATTCTGAGATGTGCATTAATAAATATTTATGAAGGGGTTTGTGAGCTTTAGCTGGAAATGCCCATGACACAGATATGAAAAATTACTTTTGGATAACTCACATATAATGTAAGAACAACATGAAAATACAAGTCCTAAGTATGCTGTTAAAAGAAAGCTTTCTACATACATAAAACCCTGAAAAAAAAAAGTGAAAGTGGATTACAGACTCAAATGCAATTCAATAACCTGAAGAGCCATGTAACTAAGCCGGGTTTATTCTGAGGAGGTAGAGCTGATCCAATATTTGAAACCAACAAATATAATCCACCATATTAAGATTGTATCAACAAAGAAAAGGATACTCATTCATTATAAAAAAAAAACCTCAGAAAACAATAATATAGTTAAACTTGCTAAATCTGATAATTTGCATAAAAAGATCAACAGCTAATATTACAGTGATTCTGAAAGACTGACAAAATTGCAAGCAAGACAAAGATGATCACTTCTCCAATACAGTACCAGAAGTTCTAGTTACTCAACAAA